GATCCTGAAAGGGATTACGGTCATGGTACAGTAGTTATTACAGGCTAGGTGGCATAAATAACAAGTTTATTTCTTTACTGTGGTGGGAGCTAAAAGTTCAAGGTCAAAGTGCCATCAGAATTGGTTTCTGGTGAGGCCTGTCTTCCTAGCTAATCTAGAGGGCCACCTGTCACTGCATTCCTCTGGCTGTGGAGAGAGATACCTCTGGTGTTTCTTCTTATAAGGATACTAGCCCTAGATTAGAGTCCTAGTCAAATTACCCTTCTGAAAAGCCTAGATGCAGTACCAGCCACACTGGGGGATTAGAGCTTCAATGTTCTAAGTCAACAGGACACTTTAAGCAGGAGAGTATCCCAATCTGACTTCCTTTTATTAGTGGGGTCTGGGCTGTCCACATTGTGAGCACAGTAAAGGCAGGGAGTGGAAGATGTGAACACCTAGAGGCCATTTACACCACCAGCTTATGTAGGAAGTAACTTACTTCTTACATCCCAGCTTATGTAAGTTACTTCCTACATAAGCTGGGATGGTGACAGGGAAGATGGAGGGGAGGCCATAGAGAAGAGAGAATAAAGAGGGAGAATTTACAGGACTTGGTGCTGAACTAGTCATTTGAAGGAGGAGGGGAAGTCAGCTCTGAGATTTCAAGGTGCCCAGTACTGATAGCAGGTGAAGATACTTCTTGTTCAGTGTTAGGCATAATTGGTCGGCAAGGCTTGAAGGGCAGTTAGGTGGAAGCATCCAGAAGCCTGGATTTGGAAGTGACATGGGCTGGAATCTCAGTCTGAAATCATGCAGCAGATTTTAAGCACAGTTCACTTGATTGTCAATTCTGAATAGAAGCAGTCCATATGCTTCCCTGTGGAACTTTCTAGCTACTATATGAAAGTCTCAAACACCATCAGCATATCAGAGATACCTGGCTTGCTTCCCATTCCCCCCAAGCCCTATTTCTCCACCCTTCCCACATCTTACATTCCTCTCATGCTCTGCCCTGCACTGTCCCCTGCCTGGACCACCTTCCATCCTTCTAGCCAGCCAATCACAGCTTTCCTCCATTAATGTGATCTTTCCTCAAGGCTCCTTTTGACACTCCTCATTACTTCCTTTCCCTCTCTTTGCCTGTCTCTCCACCTTTGGTCCATCTGCTTCTTTTTCCTTCCTATATTGTGAAGCACAGCCTGATTGCATGGCTCCTCTCACAGCTATTTTCTCCTTTGGTTGACACTCGAACATGTACTTCTTCCTTTCTCACCATTCTCTGCCAACCCTCATTCACCTATTTGATCCTTAGCCTGTCGTGGCCTTTCCCCCCTCTCTCTGCAAGTGCCTCCCTCTCCTGAAAACAAGTTTCCTTCAACGTAACTCACACTTGCCCCACGTGTGGCAGAGAAAGCTGTGGACACAAGCAATCCAAATCCATAGAAGGTGAAGAGTTACCCAGAGAAAGCTGTGGACACAAGCAATCCAAATCCATAGAAGGTGAAGAGTTACCCAGGCAGAAGGGGATAATTCAGTGGCTGAACTACAGGGAGAAGTGGACCTTCTGGATCTAAGTCAAGGTCTCTGTGGGTAGTTAGGTCTGCCAGACCTCTACTCTTTCACCTTAGTGAGGTTCCTGCCATAATCCTGTGGTCCTTCTTACAATCTCCAGCCTATATCTCAAGAAGAATGTTGTGAAGCTTTCTCGGCCCTCCTTCTCTATGCCAGCTCTAGTTTCTGGGCTTTGCAGAGATTGGAGAGTCTCCAGCAAGCCCATGTCATATCCAGTCAAGGATTTAAAGGGGTCTTATGCTCAAGGGAGTCATGTCATATCTTTTGGGGCCAACTCAGCCCAGGATGGCTTCTCTCTAGGTTTCAAGAGTGACTCCTCAAAAATCAAAGTCCTCATTTTGAACAGGGAGGAGGTATGATGCAGGAGAGAATGGCTAAAACTAGGCAGTGGGGAAGGATACAGGGAGGGAAAAGATTGGATTTCCCATGTGAAGCTTCATGTCACACCACTAAAAGTTCTCTTCTGGAGCCAGGGGCTCACACCTGCAATCCCAGCTACACAGGAAGCTGATATCTGATAATTGAGGTTCAATGTCAACCAGGGCACAAAAGTCCATGAGACTCTTATCTCCAATAAACTATCTCCTCAAATAAGCCAGAAATGGAGCTCTGGCTTAAGTGGTAGGGTGCTAGCCTTGAGCAAAAAAGCAGCTCAGGGATAGTGCCAAGCTCTGAGTTCAAGCCCTAAGACTCTGTGTGTGTGTGTGTGTGTGTGTGTCTTCTGAAGCAGAGAAGGGACAGGGGAGGGGTGCAGCTGTGGATGAGGAGGTCCCTATGCACCCATAGTCAAGGGCACAGACCCTGCCCCAAGAATACTTAATGGAGAAGAGGATGCAGGGGAATTATCTTCTGTGCACTTGTCTTCAAAGGGCAAGGGCTAAGGTGACAAAAGTTACCTGGAGGAGTTACTGAGTTTTGTAGTTGTGGGAGGGGTCATTTCCAGGGGCAACCTTGCATGGCCAGAAGGCATCACACAGGATGAAATCTAAGATCCCATCCCCACTGTCAAGCCCCATCCAGAAAGGCATTCTGCAGCCCTCAGCCACAGCTTCCACCTGAAGTATCCCCCCACAGAATTGGAGCACAGGAGCCCCATGGAGGGTCTGCCTCCTACCTGCCTCCCAGCCCAGAGTTCTTGTGATCTGGATCATGGCAGACATGTCCACCCACTCACCCCCACACCAGCCCTGATGCTGTGGAATGGTCTTGTCCCCAGGTCCATCCTCATAGCTCGGCTAGCAATATCCCTTAAATGCCAGAGCCGGAAGGGAGGAGAGCATCGGGAAGGGAGATGCCAGGGGCCAACTGCATGGGTAGAAGAAAGAGGGACAATTACAGTACGTACACGCATGGCAAACACTGGCTAAGAGCACCCTAGTGGCCACTTCTGGATACCCTGCTGTGATGACAAAGCCTTCTAGGAAATAGAGACTTTCATCAGAGGAGGCAACAGCTGCCAAGATTTGTTCATTTTTATTTATTTATTTATTTAATTTTTTATAAAACAAGCTACAAATAGTGTCCCTCCCTCCCTCCTTCCCTCCCTCCTTCCCTCCCTCCCTCACAAAGGAAAAACATACAACACAGTCTACACACGTATGTGAGAGAGAGGATGGCTGGGGAAGATTACAAATGGCTACAAGGAGTCTTCTCTGCTTCCTCCAGGCTAGAGAGTGAGTCTATGGTCTCCTTCAAGGTCCATCTAGCACCTGCTCTATCTACCTCTAGCTCCAGGCCCAGCTCTAGCTCTAGATCTACTCTAGCCCTAGCTCCAGCTCCAGCTCTAGCTCTACACCAGCTGTAGCACACTGTTTTCTAGACATGGATGTGGGAGAGGGCTTCCTTTCTACCTTGCCACATCAGGATGAAGCCATCAGGCATCCCTGAGACAACCCGTTCAACTTCCTTCAAGATCAGCAGGAACCTTCGCTAGTCCAAGACTCTACCAGGTCAAATCCTGCGAAGACCAGGCCCCTCCTGCTCGAGCAGTGATGACAGGACCCACACCTCCCAGACCCCACATGGAAAATCATCTCTAAGAGGAGGCTGGAAGGCTGAGTACCAAGAATGGTCTGATGCGGACCCTGTTCCTGGATTATATGACCCCTCACGCTGCAGCCATGGCTGCCCATGGGAAGCGACACTAGAAGAAGGAGTCGCATGCTCCTTCCAAAGGCCATAAAAACGTGCATGCCACCTGAGTAGAGGAAGCTGAGTGCCTGCCTTGAGGCTGGTCAGCCTACACTGGCATCCTGGCAACAGTCTGTCAAAAGCGAGGCCTGGATTTCTCTTTAACTGGGTCATTATTCTTTTCTGGGGAAAGCAGAAATAGATCCAAGATCAATTTTATTTCTAGAATTGCCCTTTAGGCTGTGGAGCTCATAAGAGAAATTAAAGGAATAGGAGGAACTCCAATCTTGGCTTTAAAAACAATAAAACTAGAAGCTGAGTGCCAGCAGCATATGCCTATAATCCTTGCTACTTAGGAGATTAAGATCTGAAGATCATGGTTCAAAGCCATGCTGAGCAGGAAAGCCCATGAAACTCTTATTTCCAAGTAACTATCAGAAAGCCAGAGTAGAGGTTTGACTCAAGTGGTACAGCACCAACCTTGAGCAAAAAAGCTAAAGGATAGAGCCTAAGCCCTGAGTTCAAGTCCCAATGCCAGCGCGAAAAGAAAAAGGAAAGAAAGAAAACAATAAAACTCTTGTGTTATCAACAAGATGATTGGTCCATCTCTTCCCTGGAGCCTGTGCTGAGGACAGCATTGAGAGCTAGTGGAGGTAAAACCCAGTCTAGCCCCAACACGAGGCTTGGGAGTCTCATGTGTGGGTTTGCTGGGCAACCTTCACCTGTCCAGGCTTCTAACCCTCTTCCTGTGTTGCTAAATACCAAACATCCTCTAAACAAAAAGCCCCAACTGTGCATCTCTTTCTTCCTATGTCCTGGGTCTCACCTTCCTGTTCTGCACACAGTACGAAGCCTATATGAAAAGTTTACACTAACCTAGCGCAAAGCCTTGCCCACCTACAGGCCTCAGTCCTCTGGTGGGGTCCAGTACCCAGAAACACATAGCCTAGGGCAGAATTGGAACCCATGTTGGCTGTCACATGACCTGGGCTGCCTCCTCTTCCCAGTCCAACTCCCCTTGAGAGTCAATTTTGACTTGCAGGGCCGTACACTCCTCACAAAGTTGGAAATGTAATCGCAAGCTTCCATCTATCCATGCCCAGGTGCTATCTCTGATGCAATCCAGGTAGGTTGAGGATAAAGTCCTAGGTTCTAAAAGCTGGATTATGAGTCCTGAAAACCTACAACCCACAGCAGGGAGAAAGAAAGAAACAGACCGCAACGCCAATGCCTGTACAAAAGAACTATACAATTTACATATATATTTATATACAGTATATAAATCTCTTTCTTCTCCATTCCAACAACACCCTCCCTCCCCCCCCCAAAAAATCCCTAAAAGTTGTCAGTAGCAGATCCAAAAAACATACAATGAGAGAGAGAGAGAGAGAGTAAACAAGTCTTTCTTCCCTTTCCTTTCCCCACTGTGGTATTACATATTGGTGTTTACAAAGGAAACCAGAAACAAAACACACAGAGACGAGTAATTAAAAGTGCAAACACAGTGGACATCACTTCTGTGACACGGGATGTGGCCGGGCCGTAGGCAGTGCTGAGGGCAAGGTGTCTGATGGTCCTCTTGTCTCCACGGACTCTCCACCAGCCCTTTGATTTTTCTGCTCCTTAAACAAGGCGTCCTACTGGGAGGGGAAAGGAGAGCGCAAAGAGAAACAGGTGTGAAAAAGCAGAAGTTAAGAGGTGGGAATACAAAAAGGCCTAGCTTTAGAAATCCATTTCCCCTAAGAGCAGCCTTTTAGATTTGGGCCAGGTGAGGCACAGGTGACCTGACTTGCAGGTACGAGTTTCACAGCCTATCCTTTGCCATTCTGAGGCAGCTGGGTGGCACCTGGAACCACGTGACATGGCCTACTAAGCACAGGGTGGAGGGCACCCTGTGTAAGTCCCACTACCTCCAGATGCCAGCCTTGCAGTCTAGGGCTAGGAGGAAATGGCTGTGCTTGTTGACGGGTAGAAATGGCAGAATCCTCTTAGCACAGACTCTTTCTCTTATGTTCTCAGTAAAGACATTGAACATGCAGCTTTAAGGGACTTGGCTAAAGGCTTCATTCTACTGAGTTAGCAAAGCTTCAGCAGGGGGTCTGGGCAGGAAAGGAGGGAGCCCAGAAAGAAGGCCACTTACTGAATGGGTTGGTGCCTGCTCGTTTTTCCTGGGGGAAGCTGCCAAGGCTACCACCTGCAACAAACAGGAACATGTGACAAGGGTAAGGCCCTGAGCCAAAACTAGCTGGGCTTCTACATCTGTGCCATCTCCCCACCCCAATTCTAACCAGAGTGTAACAATGGGCTTGGGAAACAGCCAGAGGCTGTATGGGTCAGCCTTCGGTGCTGTGGGTGTCTGTGGCCATGTTCTTCTGCCTGGTGAACCCACTGTCTACCAACACCTTAAACAAAATCTCTTTCTCATATGGCCAGGCACCTGTTGGGGAGTCCTTTGGGGGTTTTGTTGGTTTGTTTGGTTTTGCTTTTACTTTTTGAAACCGGAGTCTTCCTATGAATCCCAAGATGCTCTCAAACTCGTGATCCTCCTGATTCAGCTTCCCAAGAGCTGGGATTACAGCAGCGACTTACCACACCTGGCTTGGAGTGTTTCTTTGGAGTTCCCTCAGCTATTAACAAAGCGATGCTGATGGACATTTCTAGAACTTTCTTGGTCTTGGTTCTCCAAGTCACAGATGTCAGAGGTAGAAGGAATCACAGCCCTTTTATCTACTAAGTCTGGAGGCAGAGGCTCAAAGTGACTGCCTCATGGTCCAAGCCCCACTCTGCCTGCACCTAGCTCCTGGTCATGCAGTGCCAGGCAGTTCTGGAAACTGGTCATGGCTGCTTTTGTAGGGGCCTGGCTATCCAAAGGAGAAACAGGGAGCTGGGGAGACACATTGAAAGCCAGGCCAGCTCTCTACAGCTCTTACCACGGCTCTGAAGCCTCTGGATTGGCATAGAGGGTGGAAAAGGGAATCTCAGCACATAGCCTCTACTCTGCCTTCCTCACAGGATTGTCCCCAAGGAGCAGCTCAATTCTTGGAGGACAAAAGGCTCTGGGGGAATTTCCAGTGCTGTGGAAGCAAAGCCTATCCATGGGTCATGTGACTCCCTAAGTCAGCATCCCCCAACATTTCTTAAGACCCAAGAGAAACAGAACATGGGGTGGACACGAAACAGCAATTAATGTAACCAACTTTTCAGATGAGGACACAAACGCATTAAGATGGATAGACCCCCAAGGCAGGAGGGTGGGAAGGGGCAGAGCTGGCTTTAAATCCTATTTCTTCACCCAACAGCTGTTCTTCTAAGTGGTGGGCAGAAAGATCTACACACACACACACACACACACACACACACACACACACACACACACACACTACAGGGCATACAGCAGTCCTCACCACCAAGCTGAGACTCAATAAACAAAATGGATAGTCAGGAGGGTGTCTCTGCAATCTCAGGGCAAGTTTATCTGATAGGGATAAAAATATTCCCATCTTATGATGATAAAACAGATGCTCAGACATGCCAATTAACTACTCAGGATGGATAAGCAAATTCAGACCTGGCTGTCTGACTCTGCACCTGTACTCTGGACCACCAAGGAGGCCAGAGCCGGAAGCCAGGGGGAGGAGGTATCCTCAGGCAATTTTCAGGGAGAGCTAGCATTTCTGACGCGTGGAGGCGCTGGTCTCCACCCATCTCGCTTGCTTCTCAGGATGGTGGCAACAGTCCTGAAAATGCTTTATAAATTGGAAAATTCCAGTTAAGAAAGAGGCCCCTGATTTCAGAATGTTTAGCTTTTCCATTCTGGAAAACCAAGTCAGCTCTCCAATGGAAAGACTGATATGGTAAACAAACAACAACAACAAAAACCCAGCTGTTTCACGTGGCATCTATGACTCAAAACTACAATCTGTAGATCCTCTCCACAAACACCTTGTGCCCTCACTCAGGGTGCAAGCCCAGATCATGCCACCAGAGGGCACCACATGATACCAGATGACCCAGGTAGGAGCTCCATTCCCTGAAGCAGCTACTCACCTACTCAAGTGCTTTTTTGTTGCCCCATGAACAGCTAGAGCAAAAAGACAGAGGGAGTGTGTCTGCACTATGACTAATTTCTTCTGTGAAAGAGGCCCTGTGCTACATTCTTTACATGCTTTGTCGTGTTAAATCCTCATATCCAATCTGTGAGATGGACACCATTATCTCCATTTTGCAGACAAGGAAACTGATGCCCAGAGAGTTTAAATGACTCAATGAGACAGCTGGCAGGTGGCAGAGCCAGGCCTATCAGACTTCAAGGGAGTCCCAACTTGCCTAGTCCATTGTCCTTACCCCTCCCCTAGGCTTCTGGATAGGCACTTCTAGGCTGAAAATCATAGCTTTCTCTCTCACGGGGCTGGCAGCACCCTGCCTCCAGTTCACACTGCCCCAAGGCCGCATCTGCCCCTCACTGCCCTGGACTTACCATAGGCCAGTCCTTCAGCTTCCACAGACAACAAAAGTCACCTGCTTGTAAAGGGCATTGTGTTCAAACTATGGTCCTCTTTGTGGAAGGCTCAGCTGTCAGGCCCTAGGGTCCTTCAGGTGGGCCAGGGACTGTCAATGGTGCTACTTCATGTGTGCAAATCACAATGCCTCTCTAGACTTGCCCCGGCTCCTCAATTGCAACATGGAGAGAGAACTAAGGGAGTCTTTTGGCTGCAAGCTCCCGTGGGCTAAGGCACTATATGCTGTGCTATGTGTCCATGTGGAGCTGCAGAGAGAGGAATTCTGCTCTGCATCCTTGTGGGCTTTACATCTTCACAGCCTCCTCTCCACCCAACCCTGCAGGTTGAGTACTGTTGTGAGCTATCACTGCCCAGAGCAACCCTATACCCAGCCATCCATTTGTTCACCTGTGCATCTGACAGGGATTTAATGAGCACCTATTAGATGCCATGTACTGTGCTAGAGGTTAGGAACCGAGATGAGAGTCCATGGTTCGGAGGGGGAATCAGGAAAGAAAATTGTAACACAGTGTGCTAAGTGCCCTTGAGCAAAGCAATGACCTCAGGCAGCATAGCAACATTTAAGGTTTACCGAGCGCTTTCAGTAAGGGAGATGCTGTCTTTCTCTTATCTCCATGTCCTATCACACACACTACTCCAACACACACATTCATGCACACACATGTGCAATGTGTACACAAGTGTATAGCTATGTGTGCATGCACCCTAGAAAGACTTAGGAAAAAGACATGTGCACCTGTGTATGCACACATAGGGAGATGCACACAGATAGGCACACATGTACAGAGACATGCCAGGCCAGACAGGCATGGGCATTACAGACACATGCACAGACATGTCTCAGGCCTGCGCAGACACAGGCACTTCCAAAGGAAGCATGGTCAGGAGTCAGTCACTGGTGGTTCTTCTCTGGTCCCCCTAATGCCACCTTTGGGGAGAAAGGTCAGGAGGTTAATTTCAGTCAAGAAACTGAGCAGATGTGCTCCAAAGCACCCTAAGGCCTGTGGGCCGTGCTGTGAAGTGACTTGAAACTAAAGCCTAACCCCCAGCTGCATCTGGGTTGAGAGGTGTCCGGATGACCCGTGATTCTTGCATTCCCACCCCACTCTGCTTCACCGCTTTCTGCAGCTGCTTCCTTCAGGCCCTGTGCCTCTGCTGGGCCTGGCAGACATCTGGTACCCAGCAAGGCTTCAGAGGAAGTCCAGAAAGGCTCCCTGGACACTGACAACCAGAAAAAAGGAGAAGCCCTTGTGTCTGCTTATGGCAAACCCTCCCTGACCAATATAAGCCTCGCCAAAGCTTCCATTTCCAGTAAGTCAGCATCACCTCCAACCTGTATCTTCATCGCACACCTCTCCTCTCCAGCCCGCTCACCATCTTTCCCCACCCTAACACCCGTCAGCTTTTCCATGATTTCCATCTCAGTGAACAACCCTAGCCTACATGTGCACACAAACCTGTGTTCCCTTGTCCACTCAGCTACCAGTCCACCCATCTCTGCCTCTTCCCCTTGGGACTTCATAACTTGGCCCTCCACTGCTTCTCTCCTGGACTGTGCTATGCCTGTTAGATGATGGTGGCCTTGATCTTCTCTACTCCATTTCCTACAGTGCAGCCAGAATAACTTTTGAAGGCAAAACTGATCATATCATTTCTCTGGCCGGACCTCTCCAACTACCTTTCATTAGGCCTTCCCGCTGTATTCAAAGGCTCTCACACTTTACCTTGCCTCTTGTCATCCTTCCCTACCTGTTGATATGGTCTAGTGCTTGAGCACTAGCCAGCGAATTATAGGAAGTGCTAGGTATGTCCCTTTCAGAACTGTCCCATAAATGTCCCTCATATGCATTGTTTACTCAATCTGGTTGACTGAGAATTGAGATGACCTCCACAGTGACCTTGGAAGGTTAGTCATCCCAGAGTGACTCCATGGAGCAATCCCTACTTCACTTCCTGTTCTTCCTACACACACACACACACACACACACACACACACACACACACACACACACACACACCGACCACCAATACTACCTGGCACATTCTTCACTCTACCATGGGAAGACAAAACATCTTCTGCTACACTGAGGCATGACAGGTGTGGCTCTACTTCTTCTACAGCCTGGCCAACCCTACGAATGCAATCTCATACAAGAGCACAATGTATGTGAACAGCACGCTCCCAGCTGTTGAATAAATGAAAGTGTGGAGCCTCATTTCTCGGGAAGGCCCTTTGGCCCTGTGCCAGGGCAGGGCAAGTGTGAAAAGGCCAGAAGCATTGGGGGGCCCAGCACTCACCTTCTTTGCTAACCCCTAAGCAGCCCTTCAGCTCTGGCAGGGAGATGACCTTGTCCTTGTTCAGGTCACAGTAGTCGGTGAAGCGCCGGGCGCACTTCTTGGGCTTGGCTTTCTTCTTCACGTAGCGCTTAAAGGGCTTCATCTCACGCTTGTTAATGTCATTGCTGCTGTTGCTGTCCAGCTGACCAAAATACCAGTGCACCACGCGCTCCTCCAGAGTGTGGCTGGGGTCTGGCTCTGAGAACCTAGCCATGAACAGAAAGCCCCATCCCAGAAAACACCACTTAGAGTCTTTTGGGGACCATGAGCACCACGAAACTCTCACCCAAATGGCCAAATGCCAAGGTATTTGCTATGGTTTGAATGTGGTTTGTCCTGCCAAAATTCACGCTAAATTCGGTTTTTAGTGTAGCTCCGTTGGGAGGTAGAAGCAGAACCTTGAAGCAGGATTAATGTCTTTCTCGAGAGGCTGGATTTGTTCTTTCAGGAATGAATTAGTTTTCCCAAGAGGGGGTTGTTCTGAAATGTACGTCCCCCCCAGTCTCTCCTGTCTTTGCCCATGACTGCTTCCCTTTTGCTGTCTACATCGTGTTCAGGTTGCATGAGGCCCTCATTTGAAGCCAAGCAGATGCTGATAGTTTGCTCTTGGACTTCCAGAACCATGAATCAAAATAAACCTCTCTTATCAAGAAATTGCCCAGTCTCAGGTATTGTGGTTATAGGCTGCCAGCAGTCAAGTAAAAATGGCTCCTCTAAGACAAAACCTCCCAGAGCGGCTCAGAAATTGGCAGCATCAAGCCATCCTTTTCAATCTAAAAGCTTGTCCAATCCCAAGACTGGATAATTCTTGGAGTCTTCAAGTGAGTGATATCTATTACATGGACCTGCCGCACTCTCTGTTGCAGCCAGGAATAATCTGGTACAAGATGAGTACTCAAGATACATTGGCTGGATTTAACCCACATGAGTAGACCTATGTGCCTTCTCCTGACTTGCTTACTGTCAGACAAGACACTTTTCTCATTTATGTGCCCACCCTCACATACTCTGAGTATGTAACACATGCTCAGTGCCAGGCCAGACCCTGAGAAAGTGCCCAAAGAGGGAAGGTTAACCCGAACTTCATGCTGTTCACTGTCTCAAAGAGATGGAAATAGGCAGTGACACTTAACTGGAAAGGCTAATGCTCTCACGGCATTGTTGCTGGGTACCAGTTATAGGAAGAACTGAGAGAGAATAGGACACTTGGTCCAGCTTCTAAAGTAAGTAGATCCCAGACTTTCTGGGGCAAGACTCTCCAACCTGTGGTTTTGGGTCAAGAGGTCCAAGGTGAGCTCAGGAGACTAACTATTAACTAGCACCTACTGAAAAACACTGGACTAGAATGACCAGGGAAATGTTTTGGTGTCCAAACATACAGTAATAACCACATGTAGCTCAGTCCACACTAGCTCTTATGACTGTGAAGTGATACAGCCAATGTTTATGCATATAATGGTATGCATTGCCTACCCATCTATTTTATTTATTTACACACCAACTCTTCCTATAAAAAGGAGCCAGTTGGGTACTGGTGGTTAACGCCTATAATCTTAGTTAGTCAGAAGACTTAAATCTGAGGATCAGGATTGAAAGCCAGCCTGAGCAGGAAAGCCCATTAGACTCTTGTTTCCAATTAACTACCAAAACGCCAGAAGTAGAGCTGTGGCTCAAGTGGTAGAGTATTAGCCATGAGCATAGAAGCTCAGGGACAGTGCTCAGGGCCTGAGTTCAAACCCCAGGACCAGTACAAAAAGAAAGAAAGAAAGAAAGAAAGAAAGGATTCAAGATGATAATACTTTTGCTCTTTAAAGCCAATGATGGATCTATTCCAGAGGGGCTAGCTGGACCACCTAACCAGAAAAACAGACACATACTTGTTCTGGGCTACTGTTCCCAGGGCTTGACAATGAGTGAATGTGAACCAGGCCCCATGTTCAAAGGCCTGGTAACTTGCCCTTGGGAGGAGAATACATTAAGGATGAGAGTCTCACACATTCAAATATTCAGTGTGTACTTGGACAGAGCACGCATGAGCACCACAAGAACGGCGTCTGCCAGCACATGCTGAAATCGTACTTGGCAAGAAAATGTCCAAGGTGATTACTCATGCTACCTTCTTTTCTGGGTTGTGCTGAGGAGAAGGTGACTATTTCTGATCCCTCTCTCATGACTGAGCCAGCAAACTCCCTCCCCTGTGACACACCTCCCAAGCAACCTCAAAGTTCAAGGGCAAGGGCTGGGAAGATGGCTGAGTGGTAGAGTGCTTGCCTAGCATGCATGGAGCCCTGGGTTCCTTTCCTCCGTACCATATAAGCAGAAAAAGCCAGAAGTGGCACAGTGGCTCACGTAGTAGAGGGCTAGCCTTGAGCAAAAGCAGCTTAGGGACAGTGCCCAGGCCCTGAGTTCAAGCCCCAGGACTGGGGGAAAAAAAGTTCAAGGGGAAACAAAGAAGTTTTGTTAACAACAACAAAAAATTAAGCCAGTCATCCCGGCTAGGTACCCATTCTGTTCCTAAGGAGCTGGACTTCAATTCTGGTATGCTCCTCTGGACATTATAGAAGGTGTAACTGGCAGTACCCAGCGGAGGTCATCTTGACTGGCTTAACTCAGTTTGTCCCCGGGAGAAGGTGTGAGGGAGTCATGCAGAACTGCTGGCCACCGACTCTTTGGGGGATCTGGTTAGTTTGCCAGGGAAACCAGGCATAGGTGGTTTTTGGCTGCAGAGCTCAGATTGCGCTGCAAGTGTTTTGGTGTCATTACTCTTCCTTCATTTATCTGTAACATTCACTCTCAAGACTGTCCCTGCAGTGCGTGTCAGGTGAATGGGCAGCAATTCTCTGGCCTGGACACTGGGGAGGACTTGAGCTGTGGAGGAGGCAGGAGAGACTCGGAAGGCTGTGTGAGGTGGTCAGAGATGCCCCCACCCCCAGCCCCTCCTGCCAGGGAGCCAGGAGCGCTCCAAGGGGAAGACAACTTCCTTTAACCTTTAGGTTCAGTATAGCGTCATGTCTACCTTGAGGCTGGAATAATAAAGCCTCAGTCGCTCAGACGGGAAGGGATGAAGTCATCCCACCCAGAGGCCCTGCCAGGGAAGGTTCGCTCCCTCCAACACGTGTTCCTGGGGCTCCTGTCTGTCCAGTTTTCAGCAATTCTATTGATAGAGCTACCCCCTCCACCCTCCTTCAGGCTAGTTTGCAGCAAGAACTACTTTTGCTTCCAAGGTTTTCCTTCTGTGCCAGACAGTGGTCATCACCTGGCCCCGACTCCTTCTCCCTTCCTGGCCTCTGACTCTCCTTTGCTGCCCTGTCTTTCTTCTTAGGAGAATTAGAGATTTTCACTCCTCTCTCATACCCTGTACAGAGCAGCCTAGACTATCCACTGCTGGCCTGCATACCCAGGCCCCTGTCAGATCCCTTAGCTGGTCGCTGGGCTAAATACAAGACACACTTCCTTGGGAGAGGCCCTCCAAGCCATGACCAACACCCTCCTCTATGGGGCCCATAGCCCCTTCCCCTGGCCCCTTCCGTCCCACATAGTATGAATTCCTTAGACTTCCAGAAGCTTCCATTAAGAAAACTCTAGGGCTGAGAAGAGCTAGTGCCATACTTGGGAACTCAACACCTTGGTTTAGCTAAACTCCAAGTGCTCCTTGGTTTTGTGTCTATGGGGGAAACATCTGACAACCTAAACAAAGCCCAAGGTCTAGGCCTCTAAGTAAACCATTTGTATACACTGAAGTCTATACATTTTAAGGGATTAATGATTCCCTAACGCCCATTCAAAGTCTATGGACTTAGGTAAAAGAGCCCTTGATCCACAGGGGTAGAAGAAACTCCAGCCATGGTTCCAGAGGATCAGTTAAGTATGATACTCCTGAAAGAAGAGAGAGACCAAAAGACAGTCTCTGTGTGAGATTTGGGGTTGTTTCCATACTTCTGAAGAAAAGAAACATAATAGAGAAAAGAAAACCTGAAGGCATCTGATTTAGAACTCGAAATCAAATCTCCAGTTCCACAGTAGGCCTAGTTGCAGGCAATGTTGACAGCAAGGACCTCCTATGGCTTGTACAAGCTCTTGCTACGTTATCAGGAGTCCTGGAATCACCAAACCAGCAGTGCGCATGTGTGAAAGGAAACTCCATGTCCTCCCCTCCCCCTTCATTAACGGCATAGATTGAGAGATTTCCCCCCAACAGGGGAATACTAGATAGGGAAGGGACATAACAATCCTACCCCGACTTTCCAACCGTCTCCCAGGTTATCTTTGCCAGAATCCATCTTATCACTGACCACTCCCCACTATTTATTCCTTGGCCTCGAATCCATACCCCACTGATTTCTCCAGCTCTCACAACCTTCTAGAAGTTTCCTGTTTTAAAACATCTGAAGCTTGCACTCTGGCACTGGGCAGATGCTGGTATAGATTCCCACATCATTCTCCCTCCTGCCCAAACATGCACATATACAACCACTGAGGTCAGGACTGCTGGGGTTCAAAGCTGTTCCTCAGGCTGGAGCTGGGATCCTCCTCAATGAGGGGGTGCAGTGGCTCCTAAAAATCAACTACATTTTTTGCTCCACACTATGACCACCCCTCCCCCATAGGTGACATTATGCTTCTGCTCGAAGAGCTCATCAGGTAGACAGAATGCCCACATTTCCTTGGATATGGTGTGTAGAAAAAACATACCCAAACAATACCTCCTTCCAGACTTGGGATGACCATGGTTCAGTGCCATACTGGTGCCTGCCTCTGAGTTATTTTAGTAACTCCCACCTCCAGGGATGGGAAAAACCACAGGAGCCAGGTCCCTCCCTGAACGGCCCCACCGAGCCTGAGCTGTGGCCCAGAGGTGCAGAGGCCTCTCCTCAGCAGCACTTTCAGTTTTGTTTCTGCAGCCTCATCCCTGCCAGGCCTTGGCTGCACCGCACAGCCCAACAGCCAGCCCCGTTTACCACAACCTGCTTTGGCCAGGATCGTGGGCCCAGTTCTGCTGCCTTATGCAATTTTAGAGAAGGTAAGGCGGGATGGCAGGAAGGCATGAGCCAAGCCAAGCAGACTGAGCCCCATTTGGAGCTGGGTCCCAGCCCTGCTAGCTGTGCGAGTGGGGCTGGAAAATGCCAAGTCAGCCACATTCCAGCCTCTTTTGTGTGAAGACATCAAGGGGCATCCATGTTGAGAAGGGAGAGTAAAGACACTGTAC